CTGATAACATTTTCAACCATCAGATTATTACAACTACCATACTTACATACTAGTCGTTTCTAAAACTGTTTAAAAAAATTCTATTATTTTTGGTTCCATACGTTCAAGCTTGGGAGTTTGTCATTTATGCTACCACGACATGAATCGTATCTACTGAACATGCATGATATACTAATGCATGAACCATAAAAATTTTCAAAACCATGCTCTGATACCACTTTGACACGATTCATCCCGAATCACCCTAGAGGACCCGAAGCGAGGCGTTCGTCGATGATATATGCTGACTAGATGTTAAATCTATCACCAATGCTGACTATGAGTTACTTCAAAAAATGCATCAAAAGCAAACGCTTATATAAAATATTATACGATGGGCCCAAATTATTTATTTTGTGCTTCATCAATATGAGTTATAACACTCAACATATCGTGTGGCTCTCATTCCAAAATCATTAGGCCTTTCTGGCTAAGAAGAATCAATTGCTACCTATAGAAAAAAATTATGGGACAATCTATGAGTTGATAGCTCAGTGAGTGAAGAAGTTTGAAAATAATTATAATTTTTCAATTTTACATTTTTAACGAAAATTGAGTTCATATCATTGAATAGTTCGCAAGATAGCATCATATAATTATAGCCAAAACGTAAGACATTCACATAATGTCATAAAATATCATCTCAAAGTCAAGCTATAAATATCAACTGATAGCTGTACTATAATATCATCATACCAAATATACTGAAAAATACACCAAAAATGTACCCTCTGACTGAAATCGGCAATCTGTCCCTCGGGCTAAGAACTTTCACCATGAGCTTTTGGCCCCCTCCGTGAACGAAAGTCTGTCTCAAGACCTCTAGTAATCAATTATAGAACACGGTCAAGCCCGTCTATGAACTATATGTACATGATCAAGACCAATGTCAGGTCAAGACCCCTCCATGTATGATAGAACATGGCTAATACCCTTCCATGAACTAAAAGAAGTATATAATCATGGGTATTTTTCTGGTCGATCTCAATATTACATGTCTCACATACCAAACAAATTTCAATATCACATGTCTCACATACCAAATTGCAAATATGCCATAAATACTCTTTGAGATTCCACATGTATCATAATAAAAGAGATTTCCACAATAATCATATCATCGAACACATAATTGCACATAATTGCATATAATTGCGCATACTTTAATAATATACTTAATTTATAAATACTTTAAAAATATTTAAGTTTTTCTACTTACAGAACTATCTTCACAAAATCAACTCAGTTGATAAACTGTCCCGAAATCCGTATCGTAGCCTGAAATATAATATAATTTTTAAATCAACAATTAATTATTTTAAGTAATTTCAATAATTCAATAGGCGATATCCAAACTTAATTATTTCACGTTTAAGCAATTTCTACAGTCTTTTTATTCACTAAAACTAGTTTTTCTTTCATTTAACTCAATTTCATAGCTTATTATACTTAACCTTCAATAAAATTGAATTTAATCTAATAATCTAAGAACTATAATTAAACATAACTTGACGACAAGTAACTTTTTGGTCACCTTTCAAAATTGAGGAATTCAAACCTAATAGTATAGACCACTTATTTTCTCACATCTTGGCAAAAAATTTCTATATATTTTTTCTTTCTTCTGCCTCTTTTTTTTCCTTCTTTTCTCTTCCTTTTTTTTATCTGGTTTGTTTTCTTTTGTTTGTTAGTGTGTGTTTTGGTATTGTGTGTGAAATTGAATGGATTTGTTTCATGTGAATTGAACCGCCTCAACGTTTTGAATTTTTTTTTTTTTTTTTTAAGCTTGACATCTTTGACTTTACTTTTTTTTTCTTAAATTAATACATTACATACTCCAAGTGGGGAAGGAGTTGAACTTAGAGGACAAGCAAAGGCTCAAGAATATCTTGCTCAAGAACTTGGATATATTCGCTTGGAAGCATGAAAACATGGTGGACATTGACCCCAAGGTTAGAAACCATTGCCTCAGTGTTGATCCTAAATTCACTTTCCACGGGAAAAAGAGGAGGGCCTTAAACCCAAAAGATATGAAGCCTTGAAATAAGATGAGCAAAATTGATATCCAACGACTTCATCAGAGAAACCACCTATCCAAAGTGGAAATCTAACACAATCTTGGTGAAGAAGCACAATGGTAAGTGGAGGGTTTGCATAGATTCCTCCAACCTCAAACCAGGCGTACCTTAAAGACGACTTTCCATTTTTAAAGATCAATCAACTTATAGACTCTACAATGGGGCATGAGTTATTGAGCTTTATAGATGCTTATTCGGATTATAACCAGATTCTCGTGCACCCATCTGATGAGGAAAACACCTCATTCATCAAAGATAGGAGACTTTATTGCTATAAAGTCATGCCCTTTGACCTGAAAAATACTGAGATGACCTATCAAAAGCTAGTTAACATACCACGTTGAACACTTTAGGACTGCTTTTAAGATTTTGAGAAAGTATATGATAAGGCTGAACCTACTAAAATGTGCTTTAGGCATAGCCATTAGAAAGTTCTTGAGATATATGATCAATCAGTAAGGTACAGAGACCAGCCCTATAAAGATCAAGGCCTTATTAGACATGAGACCACCTACAAGCCCAAAAAAGTGTAAAGTTTGACGGGTCACCTTGTAGCATTGAGCATATTCGTCTCAAAGGCCACCGATAAGTGCCTTCCACTCTTTAAAATTCTCAAGGAAGGAAAGAGTTTCCAATTGAAAGATTAGTGCGAAGAAGATTTTCAAGGATTGAAGAAGCTTTTGGGAAAGGCCTCCTCATCTCAAAGCCTAAAGAAGGATAATCACTATTGTTATACCTAGCCATGTCTGTAGAGGCCATAAGGTTAGTACTTGTAAGGGAGAAAAGTGGTATGCAGCTACCTATTTAGCATGTCAGCAAGACCCTCTTATTAGAAGAAACACGCTATACCAACATGGAGAAGCTAGCCCTTTCCTTAACAACCGCCTCCAGAAAGTTAAGGCCCATAGCATGCAGGTGCTTACAACTTTCCACTCAGGCAAGTGCTTTAGAAGCCTAATACCTCAGGAAGGCTAATGAAATGGGCTGTAGACCTAAGTGCATTTGACATTGTATATAAACACCGAACTTCTGTAAGTTCACAAAGGCCTGTGGACCCCAAACTGAGAACCTATTTGTAGTAGCTCTTCTAGTGAGAGAGTTCGAAAGCTGGAGTGGTACTAGTGAGCCCAGAGGGACACAGGCTCAACTGTGAGTGAGATTTGGTTTTAATGCCTCTAACAATGTAGCTGAATATGAGGCGTTGCTAGCAAGCCTTAGGTTATCCAAAGAAATACAAGTGCGGAAATTGGTGGTAAACAACAACTCACAATTTATGGTGAGTCAAGTTGATAGCAACTTCACTAGAAGAGATAAGAGCATGGCTGCATATCTTAAAAATGTTATGGACTTGCTCCCCTCATTTGAAAAGTTTGAGTTAACCCAAATACGACGGATTGAGAATGTTTATGCCGATGCTTTATCGAAGTTAGCCAGTAGTAGGGATTCGAAGTGCTCAAGGTAGTGCCAATTAAACGCCTCTCTAGATCCTCAATCTCCAAGGAAGAAAAATAATGTGGAGTAAAGGGACACCACCGTGGATGCAAGCAATCATTGCCTTTAGATCACATACTACCAGAGGATAAGGAAGAGGCCAACAAACTCAGATGAAAAGCTGCCCACTATGTGCTTGAGGAAAAAATACTTTACAAGAATACTAATGCATGGATATTACTGGTCGACGCTAAAAAAAGATGTTCAGTTTGAAAAGAGATGCGACAAGTGTCAGTGTTTCTCTATTATTCAAAGACAGACCTCTCAAGAACTAATTGTCATATTCCATGGCCCTTTGCTAAATGGGAGGTTGTCCTCATAGGCCCCTTATCAAAAGGAAAGGAAATGATAGCTACGTAATTGTCGCTATTGATTACTTTGCTAAATGGGTCGAGGCTGAACCCTTGACAAAAATCACTGAAATCAATACTTCTAGATACATTTGGAAGAATATCATCTATCAATTCAGAATTCTCCACTCACTTGTATCTGATAATGGGAGGTAGTTCAACAGCAAAAAATCAAGGATTTGTATGAGAAGCTGAGAATCAAGAAACACTTCTCTTCTCCCATCAACCCCAGGCAAACGGCCAAGTAGAGGTTGTCAATAAAACCATCAAGCACACCTTAAAAAAGAACCTAAATGCATCAAAATAGGCGTGGGTAGACGAACTTCCCAACGTACTATGGGCAGTTCGCACCACAAACCCATACTGCAACCGAAGAATCCCCCTTTTCTATGGCCCATGGGGTTGAAGCCGTGAGATTTAAAACATATTTCACAAGATGATATTCATAAATCTCCAAGAATAATTTCCTTAAGTGTTTTTTTTATACTTAAAAAAAAAATTAAGCAGCAACTAATTTAGTAGAGAGTTTTGCAAAATTCTTTCACTTAAATTCGAACATTATGGATATTTCCTAAATAGTTAACTAAGTTTTTGCCTTTAAGATTCCACATATGACTGCATGGAGCATTCCTTTGTACGAGTACCCACATTTTTATTTTTATTTTAATTTTTTTTTTCGGAGACCATCAATTTAATTCATCACAAAGGGTTACCCTGAATAGCGTGAGACAAAGGAAAAAAAAAAGGAATATAATCAATCCAACTGACGAACCGTCAACAAGACATGCTTTTGGTTATTATGTCGAAACATGAAATCTAGGAGATTAAATTTTCTCTTTTATGTAATCCATATTGAAACCCTACATTAAAGCAACACCATAATCGCACTTCTGCTTTTACCTTAGACATTAGCTATAACAAACCACAAAACTTCACACAACCATATTTTCTACTAGAATTTCTCTCCATCTCTAGTTTACAGTTTACCTTGTAAAATAGATTTCTATAAATTTATATTGCGAGCTCTATCTTATTCGATAAGAAATTAAAATACATCCAAAATGGTTGGAAAAATTGTGTCTTGTATAGCCTTGGAAGCAGTTCTAGTGAGCATTATTCTACGCATGCCCATTGTTTTTTCTGATGATACAGTACCTATTCCGCCAGACAGTGCTGAAATAAACAATTGGTTTGATGGCATTGTTCAATCATTAACTGCACGGAAAGCTACCTTGGACCCGGCCCTAGTCACCGCGGAGAGCGAACCTAAAGTTATTAAATTGAAGAGCGATGGAAGTGGCGATTTCAAGACTATCAATGATGCCATAAAAACCATTCCAGATGGAAATGCTAAACGCGTTATTTTATCGCTAGCACCTGGAAATTATACTGAGAAAGTCAAGATTGGGATGAATCAACCATTTATCACCATCTATGGGGAAGATCCAGATAACATGCCAGTTCTTGTGTTTGGTGGAACAGCAAAAGAATACAACACTGTGGAATGTGCCACCTTGATTGTGGAATCAGATTACTTCAATGCCGTTAACTTGAAAATTGTGGTGTGTATACTCTATACATCCAAACAACATGATTTCTTGTTTTGCTTTCGTTTTCTTCAATTTGTACTCATAATTTAATTTGGTTTGCTTGTGTATTAATTAGAATTCTGCGCCAAGACCGGACGGAAAAGTGGAGGGAGCTCAGGCAGCCGCTTTGAGAATCAGTGGAGACAAGGCATCTTTCTATAATGTCGAATTCCATGGATATCAAGATACCCTTTGTGATGACAAAGGAAAACATTTATTTAAAGATTGCTACATTGAAGGCACTGTAGATTTCATATTTGGCAGCGGGAAATCCATCTATCTGGTAATCTATATTTTGCCTCTCCAACATTTTTTCCCTACCTGAAAATCTTGTCTCTTCAATAAAAATATGCATGACAGAACTCGGAGATACATGTGATTCCCGGGGATCCGGTGGCAATGATTTCTGCACAAGCAAGAGTAAGCGACTCGGAGGACACAGGCTATTCAATTCTGCACAGCAAGATTACCGGCTCGGGCGGTGTGGCCTATTTGGGCAGATCTTGGAAGCCTGCTGCTAAAGTGGTGTATGCCTTCACAGAAATGAGTGATGTAGTTAACCCAGTAGGATGGTCCCTCGTTGCACCTGGACATGAAAAGTCGGTCATTCTTGCTTTTCTTTAAACTATAAAATTTTTTATTACCAGGTTTAGAGTTCTTATCAGTAATATTAATAATTCGTCTTTACACAGGACGGTATTCTTCGGAGAATATAACAACAAAGGCCCTGGAGCAAATATGGATAAACGTAAATACAATAAGAAACTAACTGATGCAGATGCTAAACCATTCATCAGCCTTGCCTTTATAGAGGGTTCTAAGTGGATACTTCCTCCTACCAAAGTTTAAAATCTATTACTTCAGTTTGTAAATTTATGTGTACACCCAATTTAAGGAATAATTTTTGTTTGAGCTAGGTAAACACATAATTTTTGTTTTCAGTTCCTGATTTTATTCCCTCTGATGCGTTCAGAGCCTGGAGTTCTTGTGTAATACAAAATTTATTTTCTCCAAACGTATTTATCTGAGTTATTTTTGTCAGTTGATGTATAAACTATATTCCAAATGTGAGTTCTTAAGAAAAGGGAACTCTAGGAAGTGATAAAGATCAATTTCAAAATTTTTGAAGATGTCAAGGAAGCAGCCAATTTGTTCAAGCCAATAATCTAGCTAAAAATTTTTATCTGGATTCATTAAACTATATTCCATGCATTAATCTTGCATAGCAAATTAATATTTTTAAATAATTGAAAATATCAAAGACGCGGAGCTCCTGATCCAAGATAACGTGGACAGATTATTTAACTTAAGATTTTTAAGATCGAGATGCATCACATATCTACACAATATTGTAACCCTGAGTAGAAAGCACATGTTTGTACCCATCGATGGATTTAAGAAGATGAAGGTTTTCTTCCGATATTTTCTCAAATTTGCAATTGTACGCTGCAAATATAGTATTGTAATTGTATTTTAATTTTTAATCTTTATTAAGTTTTAAACCATGATAAAAGTGGATGACTAATATTTTATAATTTTTTATATGTTTATACTTTTCTTGCAAATTTATGTGTTCATTACACTCTAATAGTAGAAGTTTAATTATCAACTAATAATAATAACGACAACAACGAACCACGAGTTCTTTGTGAGCCCGCTCGACTTGCCCCATCGAGGAGCGAGCCGAGCAATAGCAAAGATCGTAAACAAGAATCTGAGTGGTCATTTTGATTTGAGAAAGATGATTTCTGCAGAATTTGAGGCAGTATTTACTATATTGCAAAAGCAAGAAATGTTAGAAATATTATTTTTTATCATTATTGTTGTTGCTCAAATCAGAACACTAATTTTTATTGAACTGAAAGAAATTTACTGTTACCCATCTTAATATCCTAATTAATTAATGATCTGAGTAATTAATAAGAAAACATTAAAGAGAGTATGGATTCCAACTGTACGTGGATTAGGTTCTTGCAATTTTTCAAATATATTACTTTCATGGGATATTTTGGATTTTTTGTTTTTCGGAACCCTTGATTTCGGATAAAAGTATCAAAAATTGAAATATATATATCTAAAACGCAAGCACTTAATTTAGAAATATAGATATTGATACGAAAGTGTTATAATCCAACTTATATAATTTTTTCCATTTCAGGTATATAAACAAAATAATTAAAAGTTAAAAATTTATGACTACAAATGTTTCAAAATTAACAAACTTGTCAAAAAAAATTCAAAAATCAAGTGATCACGTTTGTGTCCGTAATCCTTTAATTCATCTCATAATGTTGATTTCAGTTCAATATCTCGTACAAAATGATGTGATAACAACTAGGTTGTAATCCATCTCTTGCTAAAATCCTTCCACAAACAACAATCAATGAAATTCTTGAAAATTTTCGAAGTACCTTCCTGTAGGCTCAACTGTTCGCCAAAGCATGTGGTTCGAAGAAGTGTAGCCCAGACAAGACTTTATTTAAGGGTGGGCAAAAAAATTGAAAAATCGACGAAACCAATCAAACCAAATCGACTCAAGTCGAATTGGGTTGCTTTGAACCAAAAAATTGGTTTGGTTCGGTTAATTTTAACAATTAAAAAGTCGGTTGGGTTGGCTCCGGCTTAAGCATCCAACCCATTAATTAACTGACCCAACCCACAAATGCATTTTTTTTTATATTTTAAAATTCATCTTTTTTAATGCACAGATAAATAATAAAAACACAAATATAATTGTCTCAAATAATTTGTCTACAATCTATATTTTTCTACCAAAGCTTTCATTTTGTTGTAATTGTTTGTTGAGAATTATCTGATTTATATATGTGATGATTTTGGAAAATTTGATTCTTTACCATTTAAATTATATATATTATTGATGAGTAAATTTAATCAATGCTCACTAAACTTTAGTGTACATTACTACTTGCTTTCCCAACATTAAAACATTACTCGTTGCTCACTCGTCTATCAAATTGCTTACCAGTTGATCACTCATCTCATTTTCGTCACCCTAAACTAACGGACTCTACCACGTGGCGACTGAAATCCAACGTGGCACATCACACATGAAATAGGCCGGCCAAAAGTGAAAAATCCTGGATCTTCATCTTCTCCCTCCATTTCTTAGACCTTGAATACAACTCAGTTAGTGCACCGAATTTGGGGGCAATTTTTTGGGTTCTTCAGTCTTCACGAGTTTAGAGGCAAACTTGGGTTTCGATTTGGGGCGATTATGGTTGTTCATGGATTTGTGGGCGAATTTGGGTTTTGATAAATTAGAAATCGAAAAAACTTTCATGGAAGCTACTAAGGTCGAATCTCTCGCACGGAGTGCTCAGAAAACTTAGTCAAAAGGTGAAGAGATCGGTGGTAGGGAAGATGAATTTGGGCTACTACTATTCCCACGATTCGGCGGCTCATGGCGGTGGAAATTCCGGCTTACATTCCATTTGTCATCACTTGTTTTGTGGTTTGTGGTCGGTCATTTGGTGCAGACAGAGGTGGGATTCTCCTGGGTTTGGTGTTGAACGGCAGAATCTGTGAAACCATGCTGACTGGGCGTCCGCCTTCCATGTTCCGGCTGAGTTTTTTTATTTTCCGTCTGATTTATGTGCCACATGGTATTTCCGTCTGCCACGTGGCTCATTTCGTTAGTCTAGAATGATGGAGATCAGTTGGGTGATGAATGTGTAAGCAATTTGATAGATGAGTGAGCAACGAGTAATGTTTTAATGTTCGGTGAGTAAGTAGTAATGTACACTAAAGTTGAGTGAGCATTGATTAAATTTACTCTATTATTGATATGCATTACGCAAGAAAAAATTTATATGTATAAAAAATGTTTTTAACCAAATATGGGTAGACAATTTTTTTTAATCGCACAAATTTCAAATCGGTTAACCGACCCAAATCGATTTTGTTTGGTTTAGTTCGATTTCAATGAATGGATTAGATCGATTTAGGTTGAAATTTATCTAAACTGATCGAGTCGGTTTCGGTTTCAATTTCGGTTTCAGGTTGCAATCAAAACCAACCCAACCCAAAACTTTGCCCAAGCCTTACTTTACCCGTCCGACGAGTGTGAAAATGTGCTCATGTACAATTCCAACAGTTTTCTCTAGATCTAGATGAATTGTAGAAATCTTGAAAATAAGGGTAAAGTATTTGATATCAAATAAACCGGGGGCTATGAGATAGTTAATCATGTGGAAATTACAGTTTGGGCGATATTTAAAATCCATTTTCTGAAATCAAGAATTAAGTTTCATAATACATAATTCAGATTAATTAATAAATATGATTTAAATAAATATATATTCACCATAACAACTACTACCTTTTACGTTAAAACTAGAAAGAGAAAATTTTCAAATAAGAAAACAAAATCATTAAAAATCATCAAACTGTCGAACACACTCTATCATCAACCCAAATTGATACTTACCTAAATTCTAAAAATCTATCTTCATTTAATTCAATCAATTTTCGAATGCTTTGCATCATTTATACAGATGGTACCTAAGCAAAATCGACAAAACCACCACCATTCTGGAGGTGACGAGGGTTGTGATCGAAACTTTTGAAAAATGGCAAAAACAAGGACTTGTGATCGAAAATCACAACACAAAGCCGGTGATGCATCTGGAGGTATACAAGGTAATAGTAGAAGACCAAAATTCACAAAGGGAGTTCACGAAGAATTCTCCAAAACTCCAATTGACCAGTGAAAATGTAAATCGAAGAATGTAAGTGATCTTTGTAGTCCTTTGAGCCTATGGGTAATTCATTTTTCATATTTGTTGGGTGTGTATGAATAGCATAGTGTTTTGTTAGTAGGAAAATACTCATTTGTGATATACGGTTCACATAAGTATGATCGATGTAACAATGATGTAATCTATGAAGAGATTGTGACCAACTTTGTGATCAATTTTACAAAATATGTTGAGTTTGTGATATGGGTTGTGACTAGTTTGTGTGAACTGTGAAGTAATTGTGACCAATTTTACAAACTATATTGAGAATGTGACACTGATATGGTTGTTAGATAGTATTATGCTTGATTGTTTGTACAATGTTAAGATAATGTGACCAATTCTGTTGACTATAATGTGTGTAAAGTGAAGAGCTTATGTCCAACTATGTTGAGCTCGTGACATGCTTTTTGACGTTATTCTTAGATAGTATCATGTGTTTCTGTTAGATATGTGTGTGTACAAATACAAGATATTTGACATATTTTTACAACTTCTGTAATGTTCTGCAGGAATGAAAGTACATGATCCTCGAAAATCTATGGTGTTCAGGTAAAATTACCACCAGTGTGGCCAAAAATATTGTCAAATTTCAAATCAAAATTCACTGACGAACAAGGGGTTATTCTAGCAAGCACATGTTTCTCGTACTAAATGGAATGCCACAAAATTGTTGCCCAGTCCTAAGTGATATACTACTTTTTTGTTGAAGGAGGTGAATCAACCAAATCCTAATTAGATGTGGTTCGAGGTTGCAAAGAGATACATGCGATTTTCGTTGTGTGAGTTCTATTTAATCACGGTTGTTAGATATACTGGTAAGTATTTCAGGAAAATGCTTGAGAACGTTCTATCTAAGATTAAGGAAACATATTTTGGGGATTTGAAACTAGTTATAAATGAAGATGTGAGAAATGTATTCCTGAATGTGTTAGAAGTTGATGATCATGATGTTTTGAGGCTTGGGATTCTATATGTCATTACCTTCTACTTGTTCTCTACGTCCTACAAGAAAGTTGTTGAAAACTATTTGTTTGCTTTGGTAGAAGATTTTGACGTGATGGAGATGTTTCCTTAGGGTAAGGATTTATTTGAGATGTTTATAAAATCTTTGAAAGAGAGTTTAGGCCCTAGAAATCCCCACTATAGACTGAAGGGATTTTTGTTTGCATTTTAAGTCTGGATTTATGAGTCAATTTTCAGCCTCAACGAACCTTTAACCAATAGGATGGAGAACCATTATAAACTGGATGTTGGATAAACAGTCATCTGCAATTAAATCGAACGAATATATCTTCTCCTATTCAAATGTAAGTGTTTAAATACTTCGCTCGTAAATTTAGTTTGGTAGTATACAAAACACCAATTTTATATAGTTTTCACAGATCCCCGGTCATAAG